AATTTATTGTAGAACTGCGAGGGACTCATTTCCGAGTAAATTGTAAATAGTAGCATTGGAAAGGTTCCGAATTAAAATTAATGCATTTTTGGCTTAGTTATGCGTTTTTTAAAATGTGTAGATAAATATTGACTCAAAGAATGGTTTTATAATTTTAGTCAGAACCTTTTAGAACTGCAAGGGACTAATTTGCGATTAAATTGAGTATGCAGATTTATTAGCCTTATAAAAACTATAAATCATATATATTTTTTTATCAGCATCAACAGGCCAATCTTTCTGGGCATGTAGCAAAAATTAATAATTTTTGCCAACTGTTTCATATGTTACATCGTTAAAATTGTCAAAAATTACATTTTGGCCCAAGGTATTGGCCACAAAATTTTTAAATTAATCAGTTGCAATTCTAAAGGATATACAACATTTCGTTCCATTCAATTAGCTTGATTCTTATGAATTAACTATTAAACGCCCATCCAGGCAACTCATTAATAAACTAAACAACAACCACTTTATTCATTATTTTTATTTGTGAATTCAATTGCAAATAAATTTAATTTTTTGTTGTTTTTTAAATCACCAAAAAACCCACACATCTTTTCTTTTTGGGTGAACAAACTAATCGCGATATTACATCGTTTTTTTTTTACAAAAGGAAACGAAACATTGCAAATTTTTTCAAAATATTTTTCAAACATCTAAACTGTCTGGACTCCTATGGGGAGCAGCAATTGATGATTATTGGTACTTGCAGAATGCCATGAGGTGGGCGCGCCACAAATACAAACTAAATCCTGCACAAAGAATATTTATATATATATATATAGATGTAGAATATAGGTAGACACTAAAACTGCACATTAAACTAGTCCTAGGCGTAGGGGAGGGATAACGGAAGGGGCAGGACTTAGCTGTTGTTCCGCTTGCCACGCTGCTCCCGGCGCCAGGCGTCGATGCGCTGCTTTAACTCAATGTTCGGCACCAGCATGTCCTCAGTGAGGGGCTGGCGGTTGAAGGGGTCAGTGCAGCTGTTAAGCAGATGCCGTGTAATAATCGCGCGGTCCATCACCGTGCCGGAGGGCAACACAACGGGATCTGACATTAGGGTGTCCATTAATGGATCCTTGAACTCGTCAGGCGCATCGGCGCATTCATCTTCAGTCTGTTGGTTGGTAACTGCAAGGGAATTATATTTTTAATGAAATATACAGAAAAATATGCAGAAAAAACCGCAATACTTACTGAAGATTTCGTGGGCTCGCTGGGTGAGAGCCTTGAATCGTTCCACCTCCACCGCAGAGCGGATGGCCAGACGCTTGATCCTCGCCGCTGCCTCATTGCAAATTTCAACGTTAAAGGAGCGCTCATCAGCGGCCAGGGCCTGAGCGAATCTATCACAGTCCAAGTGCAGATAAATGTCGAAGATCTGGGCCAGGAGGCTGCGGGGCTCCCAACCATACTTGGCCGGGTTCCTGACCTTCAGGTCATTGCACTTGGGCCCGGCCAGTTGCTTCAAGTTGAAGTTAAGCATAGAGCTAAGGCGATCTACCAGCTCTGCACGCATGAACGGCTCCTTGATGTCGCTCTAAAGTAATCAAAAACAAATATATATTATAAATTTTATGATGGACCGTAAGTAAGTAGCCACTCACCGTCAGATAATGAAACAGATCGACTGTCTCGCGAGCCAGCGTCAAGTAGGAGCGGCACTGGCGCTCGTCCGTTGCCAGCTGGGTCAACCGACTCTGCTGCTGATCCGCACTCATTTTGCTTAGGTTCGCTTTGTCCGAGAGCAGCTGCTGGGTCTGATGGATGCGCTTTAGGTTTTCCAGGCACTCGTCCAGCAAGAATGTGGTGTCATTCATCAGCATGTTGACGAACTTCACAAACTGATTGCCCACACGTGACTCACAGATAACGGCCTGCCGATGGATGGGATTCTCCCACATGGATTTGAACAGATGGCTAATGTGGTATCTGTTTTACGAAAGAGAGAGAATAGGTAAAGATTTCGAATGTATTATTATAATAATTTTGGGTATTTCAAACAGAATGCTATTATTCATTATGGCTTTAAGGAACACTTAACGACAAGCCAGAGTTCATGTGGGGCTGTTGGACTGCTTACCTTATGGTAAACTTATCGTAAAACTCAGTGCTTTGGCCCGTTGTCTCTACGTCGACATAAAATCTCATTAGGGCGCTGACCAGGGCATTTTGGGCCAGTTCGTGGTTCCACATCTAAATAGTAAAAGCTTTAGTAAACATAATAACTTACTAAATTCTCTACTTACAGCTGTGTTCACCGAGTTGGCCGGCTTCAGAGAGAACACGAACATCACCTCGACCAGCTTGGCAGTCACATAGGGATTTTTGATAAGGTGCGAGGCGCAGACACAGGTCAGCAGCCAGGTGATGATTGAGTGGTCGATGCCCTGGCGTATGTCTACGTTGGCGTGCTGCATGGTGAAGAGAATAAACTCGGCGATATCATCGATATACCATTCGGGCAGTGCGGAAAATGCATCCGTGGGCTTTAGCTGTTGCACGGGCACCTTGGAGATGAAAGGTCCCTCGATGGGGCGACCCTCGAACTGGTAGAGCATAAATTCGCAGACCGTCGAATAGAATTCCGTGCATCGCTGGAGCAGGGCGGGATCGAGAAGGGTGATCTCGCTGCAGGTTTTGGAACTGGAGACAGATTTCAGTGGATGGTCGATAAAAGGATTTGGTAATAATACTTACCGATTGAGCTTACGCAGCTGCTTTTCCCAGCGCTCTTTGAACTGATTGTTGCGGTTGGCATAGCGAGAGTTGACCCAATGGGGCTTGGTGCGGTCCAGCTCGTCGATGAGCTTTTGCAGCTCCTTGATGGCGCGCACCTTCTGGCGGTAGCGCTGAATGGCGGGCAAATAGCCCAGATGGTGGGCCTGCAAGGTGAGGAACCAGCATTGCGTTTGGAAGTTGGCATTCTCTACCGGCTCACTAAAATCACGAGCTAGGAAGTTGCGATACTCCTCCTCGTTATACCGGATCTTCGTGTCCTGCTCAATGTTAACCAGGGAGTTCTTGTGGTAGTGAAAGTTTGAATCGATGCGATCCAGCTTTATCTTCACCGCCAGCTGCTGGAGCACGCTCATCAGGTTGATTACGAAGCCGTCGCGGGCTAGCAGTTTCTCGTCGCTGGCGAACTGGACGCGGCGGTCATTGTGGCGCAGGATCTTGGCAATATACTCCATCGTCTTCGAACGGCTGCTGGCATTCACGCACAGCGAGTGGAACACGACGTGCATGTGAGTGCGCATTGAATGCAGCTCCCAACGTAGACGCGAACTAGCCGCATCCTCCAGTTTGTTCTTGGTGCTAAACTCAGCAAACTTAACGTTCTCCTCGGCGAACAGGGAGACGGAAAGAAAGGGTCCCAGGAAGCTGCACTTCACGATTTCCCGTCCCGAGATCTTCGTGCAGATGGGTGGCAGGAAATTGGGCTGCCGGGCCACGAGATCAGCAATTGGTCGGACGGATCCCACCTTGATCACGACCAGCTTGGCCAGCCATTCGATCTGCTGCACATTGATCTTGGAGGTGCAAATGTTCCGCTGCATACCGGCAAAGAGTCCGCGCAACACCTGGCCGAAGATGGCGTCGAAGGTGTCGCCATCTGGGTGTGTGTGGGCCATCAAATCGATGAGGAAGGATTCGCTCACCTTCTCCATGTACATGAGCTCGAGCAGAGCCGACTGGTCCATGTGCCCGTTGAGATTCTGGTGGATGCGATCGGTCAGCACCAGCACCGTCATCCGCATTACGTGCTCAAAGGCGAGTTGCAAGATTGGCTGGTTGTAGGCCATCTTGCGGCAGCACTCCGTCTGATAGTTCTGATAGCAGCGGATGAGATAGAGCAGCACATTGTGTTTGGTCGTGGTCACTATGCTGAGCACAGACGGCGCCACGCAGGCTATTCCGGGCTCGCTGTTGGTCGCCTCCATTGGTCCCGATGCTCCGCCAGCTGCTGCCTCTTCGCTGGGCACTGTCTGTGCCACCGCATTGGCCAGAATTTCTTGCACTTCTGTATCATCGGATTTGATCTTTTTGGCAGATGAGAACTCCTTGTCTTCAGCCAGTACAGAATCGCCCTCTCCCTCGTTCAGCTCATCGTTAAAAATCTTCAGCGCAGCTTCCATCAGCACATTGGATACGATGCACTCAAAATCAAATCGGCGGATGGGCTGTTGCTCCAGGAAGCTAGCGGTTTGCGCGCAGATAATGGAACCGCTGCCGAATTCATTCCACGTGGCGTTCAGTAGTCGCGAGAGCAGCTGTTCGTTTTGTTCATCCACGTTCTTGGGAGGACTGCTCACTGACTCCATGGTTACTTCGGGATTTCCAGGGGATATTTTAGTGCTTTGCACAACACTCCGTTTGGTGCTCTCGTTGGGAGCTGGCAGGCTAAGAGCCGGCGTCATTTCCACGTCTTGAACTGGCGTGGAGGCGACTGACTTCATTTCCACATCCAAGTCCGGCTTGCCACCGAGTTCTGGCCAGACGGTGACAGGAGCTGGCTTCGGTGTGGGTAGGGAGACAACCTCCTTGTTACTTGGTGTGGCCTCTCGGACCAGGCGAGACTCACTGGAGACATTGGTCTGTTTGCGTGGCGTCTTTTCCGGACTGGGCGTCAATGGGGCTAGTGAGCTCTGCAGGCCACTGCGGGCGGCCAAGGTGCGGAGGCGTCGGGCTCGCATCTAAAAGATAAGGGAATGTTTCCAGAAGTCTTTGAATAAACTAAATGATGAAATACTTGCCTCTTCAGCTGTTAATTCGGTAGCCACGACAACTGGCTCTATTGGCTGCTGTGCGGGTGTGTCTTGTGACGGCAGCTCCTCCTCCTGCTGTTGCTGCAAGCCCTGAGCTATCTGCGGCTGCTCATCTTCTACCTGCTCCTGATCCTGTTCGCTATCTTCTTCCTCCTCCTCCATGGGCTTCTGTGGCGGCTCTTCTTCCGGCATTGCTCTGTTGATCCGTTGGGAAGCACTACGCAGTTGCTACGAAATGGCTTTTCCTCTCTCTGTTGTTGTTTGTTTGTTGCGTAGTTTTCTCCTGCGAACCAGCCAAGCGGCGGTGATGATGTGGGTTAATGAACCAAACAAAAGAGAGAGGGAGAGAGAGCCAGAGAGAGTGCCAAGAGCGGCACGCGCGTAGCCAACAAATAAATAACGAAGTCCAGCGGTCAACGTCAAGTTCAAGACAAGACAATGCCGCCTCCGCAGCCAGATCAGGGCCAGAATTTAGATGGAATCCGTCTCTTTGTCGCGAACTACGCACTACATGTGGGCATGAGGCAAGGGCAGGACAACTGACCTGCCGCAAAAGGCAGACAGACGCACACCGTCCGAGGTTGACAGCGGCAGACAAAAAAAATGCACTGCTGCAACTATTTATAGAGGCAGAAAAGCAGCAGAAGCAGCTGGGGGATGCTATTGGGATGCGCCGCTACCTCGCCCAGTCAAGTGCAGTAAACAATATCATAACACACGCGCAATTCGGAGGATAAACTTATATAATGCAAGCCGATCGGCCAATAGACTCCTCTCCGCCCCTCCCCGAATAGAAGAGTTAGCTGCGCATTGCAGGAAGTACACAAAAACCACCGAGATACATATATACTCGGGCACAAGGTGAGTGAGTTGAGTGACTGAACGCAGCGGAGTGGCGTGCGGAGAGGGACATTCTGATGCGAGGGCGGGGGCAGTGCACTTACCTGGCTGATTTTCACCTGCTAAACAATTTGTTTATATTCCGGTCCTAACTATGCATATTACTGCCGGGCCTGGTCTCCAGTACTCTGTCCAGACTTCCCGTTCCGTGCTTCAAGTCCCGAACAAAACAGACGTCAACTACGGGGCTGGTGACCAAGCAAAAATTTCTCTTTGTTCCGATTTGAGCTGGATTATTAGGCCTCTTCGGCTATATTACCTCTGTCCCAATGCGGCTGTGAGGCTGACAATTAACTATTAAAGCGCTAAGTTCAGCTAATGTGGCACACGTCCACACATAGCTCTAAATTAATTTAATTTTATATTTTTTTTTTTGGTTTTCGCGTCCGTTAGTGCTGCAAAAACATCGATGTTACGACTATCGATGTCTTTCGAGAAGTGCGATATATCATTTATATGTGCTAACACGTTGTTTTCACGTCAGAATGAAACGTTTCCACTATAGATACATTTTGTATTTCTGCCTGCAGCTTAAAGTAGAATTTTCTGGATTTCAAGGAATATTAAACTAATGACTATGAAAATTTTTTCACATATCAAAATTTCAAAAACACAACTAAGCCAAAAAAGCCTTAATTTTACTTCGGAAAGCGTTATTATGTTTGTTTTTATTAGGATAATTAAACTGCATACTCCATTTAATATTTAGAATTGAATTTTTGCCAATTTTAACTTTGTAAAAATTTCAAAAAATTTAATTTTTTTTTCGAATATGGCTAGATTGATTCAGCTTTGATGCTGATCAAGAATATATATGATTTATAGGGTCGGAAATGACTCCTTCACTACGTTACAAGCTTCTTACCATATTTTGAGTCGATATTTATTTAAATTTTTAAATGACAAATCAAATTTAAAAAATTCATAACTCAGCCAAAAATGACTTAATTTTTATTTGGAAAGCGTTCCTATGTTGTTTTGATAAGGTTAATAAAACTGCATACTTCATTTAATATTTTGAAAAATTCGGATTTTTGCCTTTTGAATTTTTGAGAATTTAAAGACCCTTATAAAATTTTAAATTTCGAAAAATTTATTTTTCTTCAGGATATAGCTAGTTCGACTCGGCTCTTGTTGCTGATCAAGAATATATATGATTTATAGGGTCGGAAATGACTCCTTCCCTATGTTACAAGCTTCTGACTAAAATTAATTATGGAGCTATGGAGCTAATTTTCGAAGAGTAAACCAGAATGTGGTTATAATAATCTTTATTTGTGTTTATATACAATTATAACCCACTGCTCTCAAAATAAAATGGTAGCTTTGTACTTTTTGTTCAACAAAAGAAAATCATTTACTTCATTTTACAAAAACGTTACAATTATATGGAACCTAATCAAGAGCCTAAAACCTAAGCAGCCGCTACTAAAAATCCGTGTACCGCTGTCGCAAACTCTGCCTTTTCGCAACGTGATGCATCTGTAAAGGCACAAACAATTAATAACCATAATTAAAGATACTTAAACATAGTAATAGCCACTAACCAACGCTGTTGTCGGCGCTCGCGATTCTTTTCGTAGGCCTTAAGCAGCGTAGGACACGTGCGCCTGATGAACTCCTCTGATTTCCAAAAAAGTCCACCATGGTTTTCGTAGCGCAAAGGAATTCCACCTGAAAGTAAGGAAGATTGATTAATAAAAAAAAAACTACTTTAATTAATTTAATAAAGTAAACTTGCCTTGCCCGCCTTTGTCTCCTTGCCCAGAACGCGCTCAATGCCATTCTCTGGCTTGACGTGTCTGTAAAAGTCCTCTTCTCGGTTGCCCGGCATCACCTCCTCTTCGTATCGTTGCTATGAGTAGACATATCCTCGATGTTGAGGAGTCCGTCCTGCGGACGCTCGCCGTTCTGCTCGATGCGCCGCACGAATGTCAGCGGATGTTGTTTGAGGTAGTCCTCTGCCTCGGCGATTGTCTTGGCTAGATCGAACTCCTCCTCTGTCTCTTCCTCCTGATCTTCGTCACATTCGGCATCTTCCGCCTCTCCGTCGAGATCCATACCATCAGAGGTGGTGCCGGTGGACGACGAGGCAGCCCGTTTGGTCTGTGCGGCGCGTCGTTTCTTCTTCACCCAATTGCCACCGTCATTTTCCTTAACGTCCGGATGGAAGCGCACTTTCTTCACACGGCCTGACGACGACGAGGTGGACTCGTCCGTGGAGGAATTGTTGAGGGGCTGCGGCTCTAGCAGGCTGCTGCTGCTGGAGGCTGATGTGGATGTGGATGCGGATACTGATACTGCTGCTGGTGTGGAGGCGGAGGCGGAGGCAGAGGCTGCGCCTGCGGTGGTCTCTGCCAGCGTGGTCTCTTGAGGTTCTGTGAGATAAGCTTGACTTTCGTCTCGAAGGCAGTGCAGGCAGTGGACGACGAGTTGCTGGCCGGACGACCGCCGGGGGACTGGCTACTTTCCGGACTGTCGCCCTCACCCCGTGCCCCCGTCGCAGCGTCAGTCTTTTGGTCCTCCTGCTTGCCAACTGCAGCTCCCGTTCCTGCTGCACCCTTGGTTGCCTTTGCCTTGCCCACCTGTGCTCCCGTTTCGGCAGCGGAATCCCTGCTGCAATTGTCCAGCGCCTCGCATTCTGCCGAGGCGTCCACTGCGTCCACAGTGGAGCCCGTTGTCTCCACCATCACACACTTTATTTGCATAGATTTGTCTAGCGAATCACTGCCAGCCGAGTCATCGTTGGACTTGGTATCCATGTGGCTGCGGCTTCGGGTGCTCCGCGTTGGCTATCGTTCGTATATGTTAACTGCTACAGACTAATTTCGCTTAAATGCATCGCAATTTCAATTAATTGTAATCTTTCATCAAATTTTGTTGCTTTCCACTCAGTGTGACCGTTGCTGAATCTTTTAAATATACCATACGATTGACAGAAAAATACCGCAATCGAAATGCAAATAAAACAATAAATTGTATTTAAATTTTATACAGTTCGGATCTTAAATTCTTGGCAAAATTGATTTAAATTATTAACTTTTAGTGAAAGTATTGTTCAGCAATAGCTTATGAACAAAATACCAAATTCTCGTATTTTATACATTTTCACTGCCAATAACAATAACGATTTGCTTTGAACTGCCAACTTGATTGAAATTTCAAATAGTAACAGAATTTGAATTAAAAGCAGGTAGTTTTATTGTGAAACTGAAGAAATAAAGAAATTATTTTAAAAACAACCAAACTGAAAAGGGTCTTCCATATTCAATACAATATATAATTGTGTAAATAAACTTTTTCGAAATTCAAAGCTTTTAACCACATCAATAATATTTTAACTTTCTTTTTTTTTTAATTTATATCAAATTTATATAAAAGCATTGAATTATAAATGCAACTTGTGTGTATTCCTTTTTATTTGATTTCTTTATTAACAATTGTTTTTTGTACATTTTTCTCTGTTTTGTAATTTAATGCCGTAAATCTTCATGTGTGTGTGTTTGTGTCAGTGTATAGTGTATCTGTGTGTGCGTAGTAAACAAAACTAAGTTATTTACACTAAGCTTTAAGTTTAATTGTAGTTCAATGTTAAGGACTATTTTAATATATAATAATATATTGTGTGTATAGATATCGTTTCGATATAAGATGTATATATGCATATCAAAGGCGGTTTGCAGTTGTTTTTTTTTTTGTTATACCCAAGTAAGTTGTTCTGTATACACTTTTCGCTTGTTTAACTTCTGGTTTTTGATTTGCTTCTTGTTTAAATATTCTTTTCTTTTGTTTGCTTTAAACTATTTAAATATATGGCCCCGCTATTCCACATGTGTGTTCTTTTCCGTTGCTTAGATTTTATGATAACATTTTGTTTGTTTTGCAGTGTTGTTTACGCCTACACTGTGCTACAAAGATAACTGCTGAAGGTTCAAAAACAATTAATATTAATAATAATGATAATAATAAAAATAATAATAATGATAAGAACAAAAGCTAGAAATATATACTAATTTTAACCGTGTGCTGCAATTGTACAAAGAATAATATTGCAAATATTGCAAAAAATTTCCCTATTCTCTCAGTTATGTTTTTGAATTGCCTTTTACATTGTGTGTTTCTTCTAGCAGCAGCTGTGTGTAAATATATATATATGTATAGATTTATATATAGTATGTATATAGTACCATATTCATTGCATGATATACGCGATTCTTCTTTAATATATATTTTTTTGTTTTTTACAATTATCAATAATCACAGTTCCCATTCAAAATAAAAATTAAAAAAGCAAGATTTAATTTGGAATTTATCTTTTTTTGTTTTGTTTTAGTTTCTTACAGTTTTATCTACAAATGTATTTCTTTGAAACGCTTTTGGATCTCTTGCTCGTGTGTTGGGTTTTAAGTTTTTCTTGTTACATCTTACTTAATTAGCCAATATTCTATATACTATATAGTTATCTCTCATTCTGATCATTTACACATTACTATTAATTTAAATTACATCTTGCACCGTTCTAGCAATTAATTACGCAAAGAAATCTTTTATAAAGTATTCGAATTGTTTTTTCCATAAATTATATGAATAACTAATGACTAACTTATGGCTTAATAAAGATTTGAAGTGCAGGAACATGTTCCAACTAGGTGTGTGTATGTGTTTTGTGTGGGTGTTAGTGACAATAGAAAAGGTGCCCCAAAAACAAATCCCAAACTCCACAAACTCATACTCAAGGAAAAAATATGTGAAAACAACAACAAATATTAACAAAACCAAAACTAAATTAAAGTAAAAAATAAGTTAAACCTAGGCATAGTTTTTGATTAAAGTTAATAAAAGGTTGGGCCTTGTTTTTTGGAGTGGCCTACTTTCTGGAAATGACTTTGCCCGTCTTGGCATTGACCAGTATCATTTTGTCCGGTGTTGTGGGTCGTTCCTGGGCCGGCGACTCCTCTAAATGATTGGCACTTCCGCGCAGGGTCCTGCGTCGCAGGCGATCGCTGATGTTCTCGCTCTTCAGTGCCTCCGAGGCGGTAGCTGGCTCCTCCTGGGAAGAAGCAGCAGGAGCAGAAGGCTTCACACTCAAGTTGCCATCGTTCTTGTAGAGAATCAACTTGGTGCTGGGTTTCTTGGCCGGCGGCTCATCCTCAGTGGCTTCTTCGCCGGCAGCTGTCTGCTCTGCATTTGGATTGGTATGCTCCTCCTGCTGCACATTGGCATTCATCACATTGTCCTGGTTATTGTTATGCTCCGTTGCCTGCTGCTTGGACTCACCGGAATCCTGCGGCTCCTGTTCCACACTGATCTCCAGCTGATCGTAGCAAGTGAAGAACTCCACGGACTTTAGTTTCTCGCTGGCATTAAAGTGCAAGGCCGTGTGCTCCTCCATTTCGGTTTCTCCCTTGGCACTATAATCACAGTGGGCACATTTCTGGGCATTGGGAGGCGGTGGATTGACGCAGGCATGCTTCTGGAGATGCTGCTGCAACTCCTCGTGCCGCTGGGTCTCGAAGGGACAGTGGAGGCAACGTTCGGGTGCGGAAGCCGACTGGGGCATGTCCATAGAGCCGGCATCACTGCTGGCATCAGCAGCCAGGTCACTGGTGGCCACCGAGGCGCTAGTCGACGGCGTTGAAGTGCTACGTCGCTCCTCATCCTCCTCGGGGTTTCCTCTTGACCTTTCGGGGGTGTATCATCATCGGTGGCTTCCCGGTTAATGGTAATCACCTGACCACCGCCGGATTCTAGCTGCTTCTTAAGCAGGGAATTCTGGTTATCATAGCTTCCGGTCGAGGAGCTAACCCCTCACCGGTGGTGGTCTGTTGAAGCAGCTGCAGGCTAAGCTCATTGTCCACCACCCAAATGGTTCGGGACCGGTGAGCTGCAGCAACTTTGGTGCCGGATACTCCACATCCTCTTTGCAGTTCTTGTACAACTGCTGACACTTCTCCTGGTAGTGGGACATGTGCACGGCTCTGTGCAGCTGCAGCATGGTTTCCTCGGCGGTGCGATATTCGCAGTATGCACACACATAGCTCTGCTCCAGCTCCATATCCTGGTCGCTGCCGCTGTGGCCAGCAAATGCTGTTCCAACTCCTGCTTGGCATTGCGCTCGTCATTGTGCTTCTGGGCAAAACGGGCTGGACACCGAGGACAGTAGCTGATCAGCTTGTACTGATATTCCGGTGGCAATTGCTGCGGATTAAGCTCGGCATCCGAGGCAGCGGCATCCAATTGCAGCTGCGACAGATCAATGACAGCGGCGTGGAGGCGGGCAGTTGTTGCACCTGTTTGGCGGCAGCTGCCAATTGGAGGGCCACGCTAAAGTCCAGACCCAGGGAGGGAACACTGGCTGCTGCTCCACCTGCGCCGGCTCCACCTCCGGCTCCCATCTGCTGCTGATGGACACTCCTCATGTGGCTGCTTAGGTGTTGCTTTTTGGCGCAAACAAAGGTGCAAAGACGGCACTCATATTGCGTGGGCTTGTGCAGGGACACATGGTAGTTCATCTGGGACTTGCTCTCCGAGATGTAGGGACACACCGGGCACTTTTGTTGCTTGCTCTTGGTATTGTTGCTGTTGTTGTTGTTGAGGTTGTGACCTCCATGATCTGCAGCCGAGGGCAGACGTGTGATCTCAATCTGGTCATTATGTTGGAGTTGGAGAAGCTCCTCAGCGTTCCACCGCTGGCTACGGCGGCCTTGCAGGCAGCTGCCAGGTAAGCAGCCGCCGCCTGGATATCCTGCTGGGTATTGGCCGCATTTACCACAGCCGCTGCGCTGGCGGAGAGTGGCGAATGGAGAAGCTGTTCCAGCTGCTTGGTGGTCATCAGGAGCTGGGCACTGCTCGGGTTCGTATTGCCGGACTTCAGGTTGTGATTGATGGGATTCGATGGGATGTGGGATTGGGACTCGTTGCTGGCACCTGCTCCCAATGGTCGATAGATGGGCGGTGCATTGGCCGAGACACTGGCTCCACGCTCAAGGGTCTCGATCCGAATATCCCCGGAATGCTTTAAGCGACAGTGCCGCTGCAGATGGGAGAAAGAATCAATAATTAGTATCTTGTTTATGTTAATTATATTAATCGAGTGTCCTTCTGTCTTTATGTGGGTGTGTTGTGTAGTGTATGTTGTGAGTGTTTATGTATCCTTTTTTCAAAGGCAAGAATAACCATGAGTTTAGCCCAATCGAAAACCCTCGCACCGTAATGGGAATCCCTGAAAGGTTAGCTTGGTTTTTAATTATACTTAGGTTTCATGGTGTCATGGGTTTTGTTTTTTTTTATCATGATTTAACGAATTTATGGATTACATTTAGTTTGAGGTAAATAAAGAGAGAGAGCAAGCAAGACTTTCACCAATGATTTTCTTATAGTTAATCGTTTATCATATATATGTATATATATGTAGGGTACAACAAAAGCAAGACCAGACACCACACATATGTATTTAAACAGATAATCGATAGCTATTGATTATTAATCAGGGAATAATAACAATATCGGGGGATACAATATTGACTTTGCATATTTACCAGCGCAGCGCAGGGACTACGGACACAGATGGATATTTTTTTTGGTGATATTTTGGATGACAAAAGGTGACGGATCGAGGACGACTGCTAAAGGCTCACAAGGGATTATCTCAAGGTTAGTCATCGTTTGGGGTTTAACTAGCAGAGGATGTACTTTCTTATAAACAGAATATACTAGGTACTGTGCAATATAAGCTATTTAGACTGTTGAATACTGAATCTTTTCACAACCTTTTCTCTTTCAAGAATGTAAGCTATTTTAAACAGAGTTTTTGTGTACATTTTTATAATTCTTGGTATCTAAAATATATTCCAAAATTGAAAAGGAACAATCTAGCATTAACCCATCTTCAGTACTCTTTATATAACTTGTTTAAAGAACTTGTAACAAAGCTTTTAGGAACAATTACTTCCCTCCTTCTCCCCATTAACCCCCATTCTGTGAAAGATTTCTTCCTCCAAATTCACTTGCTTCTGGCTTCTCAAAAAGGGTATCTAGGTATTCGATCAAAAACGAAACTTTCGGTGGGATCGGCGGCGGCTCGTTTCGGTTTTTGAATGGGACAAAACACAAAACCATTAAATGCA